GTCCCGTTGGGTGGTAAGATCTTCTGAAGAGTGTAGCAACACACAGGGAAGAGAGGTAGACCAGATCTCTAATTTCCAACTTTGAGCCATGGACTGAAAAACTAGAACTCTCCAGGAAAGTGCTAAAAGACTCTCTGATTTCTTCCATATTAGGCTCAAGACAACTAAAATCATGCTTATAGTTTGCGCCTGTCCATGCCAAGTGTTCACAGCTTCATTATGTTTCTTAGAGGAAAGCTATTGGCCAAGGATGGCACTTCAGACCTTGCAATGGGATGAATAAAAAGATTCAGAACTCAGAGAGCTCTGCCTCCCAATCCCTGTAAGCGTCATTAATAGCACCTTCTTTTCTTGTCTGATTAGGATGGTCCTGCCTTAACTAAAGACCCTTTAATGAAGGAATTACCTTGCCAGGGTAAGTTAGTTCCTCTAATTTTCCATATCCACCTTTTTTTTTTCTAATCTCAATACCTATGCGGTCAGTCACTGGCCAGCATGTCCCTAGGTGTTCACAGAATAAAGGCCTTTTTGTAAAGGGCTTGCTCATTTTCTTCACAATAACAAATAATGCCACTTACCTACAGAAATCACAAAAGATAGTCGCACACCACCAACTTTTGTAACGTGCAGGGGCAAGGCGATAGACCTAATGCTTCTTCAGCAAGTATTCACTAAGGAACCTCCATCCCTTGGGATAGAGGAGAAGTCCCCAGATTGCTCCTTTGGGCTATGGCTCCATGACTTATTTTGGCCAGTAGAATGGGTCCTGCCCAATGCACTGTGCTCGCAAGATTTAATTCAGTGTGTGCCATTATGATTCACCCAACATAGGCCCTGACTCAGGTAGTTCCTGGCTCATGATAATGTGGAGACATGTAAGAGGGACCAGAAACCAATCTGCAGCCCTGAGCTGGGGAGGGGGCAGGTCAGGGAGTAGAGCCTGGACCCCAGCCTTGCCAGCTGAGTGTCCATCAACCTCCGTTTTGCAGGAGCTCGTTATCCAGCATTACTGCAGCAGCAGTGAAATAACACAGGCTCTGCCTCTTCCAGCGTCCCTGCCCCACTCCCTGCTCATCCAGCACAGAAAAATGATCTGGAGCAGCTGGCAGTGGATCACTGTGCGCTCAGGAAGGCTGCGACTCCAATCAGAGCTGCTGCTCCAGGTGTGGTTTACATTTTGGAGCAAATTAACTCAAACTCTGTATCTGGAAAATGCTTTTATCTATTTCAATAAGAACGTCCAAACAAGACAGCACAAAAATTAGAAGTTTGATTGTATCCAGCAGGGATATCAATAGGCCCTGATGTTCCTTTCCCAGGGTTTCAGTAACTGTGGTTCAATATAATAATCTAATCTATCAGATACCTCACTTTTCTCACCCTCCCACAGGACATCATTCTGGTCCACTACACTGATGACATCAAACTGATAGAACTTATGGAATTAAAGGAGGCACATAACCTGCAAAGATACATGTGTGTCAGAGCGAAGGAAACAAATTACCTGATAATGCAGGGACTTTCCATCTCAATCAGAGACATGTGAAATATCTCTTCCATGCTAGGATGAAGTTGCTGTCATCTTTGCTTCCCCTATCTTTAAGAGAGATGCACAATGCTTGGAAGCCATCTAGGGATTTGGGAGATAAAATATAAATTATTTGGATATACTATTCTCATTCACATATAGGTTGACACTCTTAAATGATCCCCAAGGTTATCAAATTTGAGTTACAGTATAAACAAGTTGCCACTTGACTATTATAACCCTGTAGATCCAAGATTAAAGTGTCAGAGATACATTAAGATGCTTTAGGGATTCAATAGCAAGCTCTGAGAGCAAAACTCTAGGTTGGTACCAAGGATTCCAGAGTAATGCCATTTGTTTTTTCAGTGAAGGATTCTTGACCCTTTCAGGAAACAATTGTTGGCTTGTTAGAAGGGACCATGGGACACTTAATAACATGCCTATCACAAACTGGGTATTAGTTTGCACTGAACCATGCGTTTCAGTATGCCCATACAATTCCAGCATCAAGAAGAGACAGCGTATAGGAGATCACCATTGAGCCTCTTCTGCATGCTCATCTACTGTGCATAAACAACCCTCTTACATTCTCTGTGTACCTGCTGCTGTCACATGATCACCCTTCTCTGCATCCGCAACTATAGCCCCCTGATCATTTAACTGGAAGGAAAAAAAAAAAAAAAGCTCCTTTGTTGACCTATGTCTTCAAGAAATTTTCTTCTGTAACCTTAGAAATCTCTTTAGATTTTGACTCCAGTGGGAAATGGACCAGTGAAAATCTCCCAGTACTTTATCTCACAGGAGGCAGGCTAATTGGAGCCAGCCTGGAGAGCACAGTGCTGAGGATCCAAAAGTTCCTGGCCCCCGGTATGTTGCAATATTCAAGTCATACGGTGAATCTTTATTGAGCACAAATGATGTGATTATTCGGGTTCAAAAAGGTATAGAGACTAAATGTCCTACATTTTCCTCTAAAATAATTGTCCCCACACTAGAGCTGAAATTTCAGTAAGTGACTCATACATCGCAGATTGCCTTACCAAAAGTAGCATCAAATTTGGTTGTGTGTGAAAAAAAAATGAATTTCTGCTTTTTTGGAGAAAATGGGGAAAGGAAATATGGTGATAGCAGTTACTGCACAGATGAATTACCAGTGCACTCAGTAGAAAGAGCCTCGGCTCTCTGCGGGGAAGATTGTCTTACTTTGGGGATTAGGCCACATAGTTGTTGTGAATAAAGGAATCACCCAAGCTATATGATCTAATTCCATTCAATAAAAATGTGAGAATAAAATCCAGTCATATCTTCCCAAGACTTAGGACGTTGGCTGGGAGACAAGAAAACAATTAGAAAACAAACTGTATTTTTACAACCAAGAGAAAGAGAGGAGAGTGCAGAAATAGAGAACGTACCATTTGTATATTTTAAACTGTACATGTATATGTGTGTTCACACACTTTTAATCTAGAGAAGATTTAAGGTGGTTTTGTAAACATGTACACAAAATAATGAAATAAAATATAAACTATTCAAATGAGGTGGTAGAAAGGAACTATCAGAATAGCAAAAATAAGTAGTGGCAAGTGTTTGGCACACATGATACATGTTATGTATTTGAGAAAGAAAGAAAGGAAGAAAGAAAGAAACAAAGAAAGAAAGAAAGAAACAAAGAAACAAAGAAACAAAGAAAGAGAAAGAAAGAAATTTGGCTCTAAACTATCCAGCATCCTACTCAAGAAGGAAAACAAAGAAAAATTGCTGTATTTTTTAAAGAAAAGCTACATAGGCTGGAGAAACAGAAACTAATATTTATTCAGCAACAATTCCATTTAATCCCCAATATCAAGTCTACAGAAAAGGTGTTGATTCCTATTTTAGAAATTGGGAAACGAGTTGTCTAAAATGTTTAAGAGATGTTTTTAAATTTCTAAACCTCTTTATCCCCATAATCTTCCTGTTTCTATTTCAGCACACTGCTTCTACGTTCTGGTTTTTAAAGCCCTGGCTTGGAAAAATTAAACAAACAAACAAACAAGTTTTCTGGTGAGAGCAAGACATTCTGCCCTGTTTCTCCTGTGGATCCCTTCAAACGGCAGAAACCAGATGTGCTCCAGTAGGTTGACCACACGCCTAAACCCATGATAGTCAGGATGTTGAAGGTCCCATTACTTCTTCCCATTATATGTGCCGCCATCTTGATGGAGGGAAGGAAAGAAAGCAAATGGTAGAATCCAAGGTGTTTCTACAGAAATTTCAAGGTAAGTAAATTAAAAAAACAAAAACAAAACAACAACAACAACAACAAATGCTAAAGAAGGAAGATGGTAAATTGTTATTTTCCTCTTCTAAAGTTATTATGAAGAGACTTTCCCTTCAATTTCCTGGTAATTACTAGCCTCCCTGGCAGCGAATTACCCTATATTAATTAACTTTATTTATTGCTGTTGGCAGAGGGACCATACAGTACATCAAGCAATTAGCAACCTCCCATATTGCACTCAGAAGAGAGGTAACAAGATGCCAATCAGATTGATTTCTTGCTGATTGTTCCACCCAATAGTTGTCTTCTCAGGCTTTGACCTTTATACTATTACTTTTATGGGGATTTGCACAGCACTGGTGGAGATGTGAGGGCCTATGGGGGGAGGGCAGGACTCACACCCTACAGGTGGGGGTCCAGGGGTCTCAGTGGGAAGGGCTGAAGTTCTTCTAAACTCAGGCTCTGGGGATAAGACATACGAAGCTATAGGATGGAACAGGAGGAGGGGAATCATCCTGACTTGTCCTTGTGTCATGAATAACTGTATGGTAGGAAGACCCACCTGATTTAACTGGCTCAAATTGCTAACAGAAATTGGAGAGTCCAGAAATTTCTTGTTGAATTTCTTTAAAAAACTATAGAATAATCAGGCCCTGCTGGAGGCATAGGTGGCTTAAAAGAAAAAAAAATTGCCCATCTTCTAAAAAGCCCTCCCCAGTGAATGCATCCGAGCTTATCTCTGCTACTAATAATAGATACTCCTGTTCTCTATGACTGTGTCCTAACTAGCCAAGGTCTGTCTAGTGAGGCCCTTACCTCTCTCCAGCAATGCTTCACTGACCATTAGTTCCCCACACTGCTTGGTATTTTAGTGGAAGGTCTTTCAAACCCCTCTTAAATAACCCAGTGTCAGCAGTTTCTGCCTTTCCTGTCCCCCAGTCTGGTATTAAATGGGTTAGAATAACCCCAATCTCTTGGTTTATTTAGCTCTTCCCAAATTTATAAAATTCATAAATTTATTCTGACTAGAGAAAGAGAAAAGAGTCAGAATTCTCAACCTACCAGATATGAAATTAATCCAGCTGTGATAGACTTATAAAAACAGTGTCCCCAGAATGAAAAGTGGGCACCTGTCTGTCCATCACACCACAGTCTTTACTGGTCCCAGGGCTGGTTGTGTACCTGGGGGAAGCCAGGCAGATGAAGAGGTGGTGCAGAGGCACTGTGAGACCCTTTCTGCACACCTGTCCCTTTTAATTGTAAAAGCTAACCGACTGTCTTTTGAAAGGCAACATCACTTGCACATGGTGACCCAGCTCATAGATGGTAGAGTTGGACCCAAGCTTATCTCTGCTACTAATAATAGATACTCTTGAAGGAAACCCATTATCACTGTCAAGAGCATCTGTCCCCAACCACCATTCAGTTTCTAAAGAGGCTCAAAAATGACTGGCCATGTCTTAATGGCGCCTTGGACCTATTCTTTGAGTTTTTCAATCCCACCCATTTATTTTTAATTGGCAAATTAAAGTTGTGTGTATTTAGGTGTACAACATGATGTTCTGAAGTATGTATGGGGCATGGATACACCAAGCTAATTAACATGCACATTACTGCACATTTTTACTTATGGTGAGATTCTTAAATCTATTCTGGAAGAAATTTTCAAGTATGCAATACATTGTTATCAACAATAGTCACTATGTTGTACATCAGAACTCAGGAATTTATTTCTCCTGTCTATCTGACATTTTGTATCCTTTGACCAACATCCTCCCCAGTGCACCCTCCCTGGCCCCTGTAACCACCATTCCACTCTGGATCTCTATGGGTCCACTTTTCTTGATTCCACATAGAAGTGAAATGGTGCAGTTTTTGTGTTTCTATGCCGGGCCTGTTTCACCTAACAACACCCTGCAGTTCCACGATGCCACAAATGACAGATGTCCTTCTTCTTACGGCTGAGTAGAATTCCCCTACTTATAGATACAACATTTCATCGTCTCTCTGTTGATGATAGACTCTTAGGTTGATTCTGTAACTTGGATATTGTGGATCCTGTTGCAATGAACTTGGAAGTGCAAATGTTTCTTCAAGGTATTGATTTCACCTCCTTTGCTTAAATACCCATAAATGGGATGGCTGCATCATATGGTAGGTGTTTACATTTTTTTTGTGTTTTCAGTGTTGGGGAACCCAGAGCCTTTTACAGGGTAGGCGAACACTCCACCACTGAGCCACATCCCCAGCACTGCCCTGCCACCTCAACATTTTTTTTTTTTTTTACTTTTTGAAAAACCTTAAGACCACTTTTCATAATGGCTGCACTAACTCACCTTCCCACCAACAGTGGACAAGGCTTCCTTCTTACTTCCCTACCAACAGCTCATTCTTCATGACTCACTTTTGACCATCCACCTTGCTCTGTCTTTTGAGGGGCAGCCTCTCCTTATCTAGAATTTGAATCTATGCCTTTAGACAGCTTCATTCTAACTCACTTCTGCCTTGAAAAGTTCTCTTTCTATTCCTCTGATGTTTTGCAACCCAAACCCAAAAGTCACATGGACTCTTCATGCCTGCTTAACTCTATATCACTTTGGTTTTTCAAAAAATATCTTTCTACTCTTTTTTGTTCTTTTCTCTGGCAATCCAACCGAGTTTCCCCTTGTTATAGTATTTTGCTTTTCTGGAGGAAGATATTCTGTCCCTGAGCTTCTGTGTTCTAACACCTCCACCTGGTTATTGGCATCTTCTAAAGTACAGGGTGGCATCTAAACTCCTGTCATTAATTCTGTGAGCTGCTCTATCCATGACAGAGTATTTGTTCCTCGATATTTGCATGCCCTTGCCAAATATATATCCAATCACTTCCATGTCCTCTGTAGAGGAGAAGCTACTGGCTACTGGAGCCCAGTAATTTAGAGATCACCTTTTGTGTTAGTGTAATACTCTGACTCCAAAATTAATGAAGCCAAATCCTTGAATTTCTATCTTGGCCAAATGCTCTGAACTGGATTTGCACCATGGATGCCAGCCCTATCTCTCTTGTGCCTATTCAATTCCTAACTTCAGACAGGAAAGCTCATCTTCTCTCGGAGGTCTAATACTATGAATCTCATTAATCCAACTAGCATTCTCACTCCAAAAGATAATACTCTCAGAAAGATGTAGATGAAATGCTGAGCAGGTGTCTTCGGCTTGAAATCTTTGCAGCCTGCACAGAATAACTAAGTTGCATCTTAGGGCCTTTTAAAAGCTGCTCTCAGGACATGGAATAACAGAGACTTTTCCATATCAACAATGTGAAGTGTGCAACCTCCTCGGATGCTTGCTACGACAGTTTTGAGAAAACTGTTTAACACTGCACTAGATCTGAAAAATGTGCAATTTGAAATTGTCCCTGCTTGGGCAATTCTACTCTGAGGTAGTGCATGATTTCCCATGTCTGCTTTAAAAGATTACCACAAAGTAGGTGGTTTAAAA